ACCTAGTTTAATCTTGAACAAACGATCGAATACTTACGTGCATCGCCATAACGGATAGCGAAAGGAAGCACAAAACAAATTGGAAAATCTTAAAACATCTTTCTTGCACACTACCCATTTCCTCCCTGACTCAATCACTGCCTCCTAAGGAAAGAAATGAAAAGAGTCACAGAGAGAAAAAATTACCAAAAAACTCCCTTTATTTTGTAAGATATGAAGCTAGAGAATATTTCTTCCCGAGTTTATCAGCGATACTTGATTGCATTCATACGATTTAACGCCATACCTTTGATTTTCAGGGTAACAGCATGTTGTATCTGCGTTAACCTCTCCTCCCAGTCGAGTAACGCACGACGACAGATTCTATACATCATCTATAGTTTACCATTTCCCTTAATTGTTACGGCGACTTGAAAATCAAATTAACACGACACACAAAACCATGACCCTCGACGAAGATATGTTCAACACTTGCGAAAACAAATCTAAACAAACTGATCAGCTGATTAATGTGGACTTAAAACGCTCTGATTCACTCGAGTACCTTAACATTTCGGGTTCAGTCTGACGGCCGGGAAACAAGCTTACCCTTTGTTACGCTGTTTGTTCTAAGCTTGGTTTTTCTCGTCTCCTTCGGAGGTTCAAGATTTCAAGAAAATAGTGTATTTTGCTTCAAATTATTGCCAAATGTTCGATTGTTGTGCCATATTTTTTTTGTTTGTTTTTTGATCGCAAAGTTTCTAAACTGGTACTTTTTGGTGTTTATGACACATTGACCTGCAATGGCGAACATGATTGGTTGCTCTTTATTGCTTTGCTTGTGGCATTACAGCAAGGGGTCAAGATGTTATTAAAAATGTATCTGGATGGGAAGGTTTTCTGTGAAGTCAAACTAAAGGAATGATGGCTTGTAGCTTTGTTGACCAATTTTTGTATTTCTTTGATTCGATTTGGTTATTTGGGCTGATTTTTAAAGCCCGAACAACTTGAGAATTGTAGAACCTGAGAAACTGTGGCTGAAAACTCTAATTTCAAATTCTTATATCATACCATTTGTATGCCGACAACCGTCATGATACCCGATTAGAGAGACAAAAAGCATTCTATTTCACTGTCTGAAACATTTTAAGCCATTTAAGGCTGTGGTGTTCCTTAAAACAATTCACTAGAGAAGGAAGTTGCTTAGAAATCATAAGTAAACAACATGGATGCAATCCAACAAGAATCCACCTTTAGAAAAAGCCTGTACTTGCGAACAAAACTGTGTTAAAAACCACTTAATTTCTCGTTAAGAAGCAACTCATTTAATTAACACCGACGTGTTGATGATCTTATGGGTGTTCATCATCGACCTCTCTTCGAACAACACAGAACGGTTTAGAACTAATTAATGTTTTTACTACAGCAATATTTACGGTGTGAGTAACAAGTACCACCAGATCTAATAACTTGCGAAAGACAATGTAGACGATTGGCGATACTCAGGGTCACTTCTCAAAACATGCGTTGAAGTAGTTGAAAACTAAGAATAATAAAACAGGTCAATTTAACGATTTCAAATCCCTTCCTGTAATAAAGAATGAAGCTAAAGCTCCACGTAGAATACCAAATGTAATTGCTTGTTATTGTTAGCTACACTGAAACTACCGTACTTGGCCTGTTCTGATATCTGTTCGCTCAGAATGGAAACAACTTTGAACTTAGGAAATGACTTTGCTATAAGCTTACATAATTGTGTAAAAAGATTAGTTTTTTCAGTTAAGCTGATCGAAACATAAATGACTATAAACAAACAAGAAATTGACGGTTGAGCCAAGATAACCTCAAGTTTTCTTACCCCCGGGTCTTTCCTCTATTCGCTCCGACGAAGGGCTAACGCTCGAAACGTCAGCTTTTATAATCGTAACGATGGCCAATTTACCATTTCAGCTTTGCTTATATGTTCAAATTATTTCGCTACTCCCACCGACGCAGCCCCAAACAGTTTCTTTAGAAACTATCAGCCTTTATTTATCTGTTTAAATTCTATAATGAAGTTCTAAAACGAAGGCGAGTTGCTAACTTCCCTTTATTTCCAGGAAATATTTCATCAGTTCGAGCACAAACTGGCCACGAGTGCAACAAAGTTGAGGGTGGAGTCACTAACACAGCAGGCGAAGTCTGTCGCTTTGCATTCCAGAGAAGTCTGCGACAAGCTTACAAATGTTCTTGAGACCAGAAAGAAAGAAAAACTCAGTAGGTTGTCTGGAAAGAGAGATGGCTTTCATGTTAGAAGACAGCAAGATAGTAAGGAAAGCTTTTGATTACAGCAAGAATGAAGGTGAAAACCTAGAAATATTTACTGACGACGCAGTCCAACGGTTATTAAAGAAAGTTGAAGACGAATTGTTGGAAGGCACATCAAAAGAAGAGGCTGTCAAACAATTTCTCGACGAAATCAATGAAAGGATCCAAAACACCATGATACTCAAAAGAGATATAACTGGTAATGCCTTCCAAGAATGGAAGAAAAACATACAATTCCACAAGTTTCAGTCCCTCAATATGCCTCCGTCTCAAGCACCTCCGAAGCTCACAGATCAAGAATTACCTAAAGACCAATATCTGGTATCGCGATTCTAATTACTACTACACGAACAACTACATTTGTGGAACCGTGGCCGGTGTCCTAGCTGTCGCAATTCCTACCTTTGAACCCCAGAATCACATTATCAGGAACTGTCACAGGCGTGAACGGAGTCAAACTGTTTATACTGGAATATCTTTTACGCCTTGCCCTCATCTTGATATGAATCGTTACATGTGATTAAGACTTTCTCGCTTTGGTTTTCTAGGGGCACTCCTAGCCTATGCTGGAGAGGCGATCGCACAACGAGTGATGACGGGTGGAGCGTGGGCAACTGCCTGTCCTGTGGGAGCTATTGGAGGATATGCTGGTGAATTTTTTCATGGCTTTCGTTTGGGAGACCATCTGAAGAGAAAATTCCCGATAAGCTAATACAAAGTAAGTTGCTGGAAAATTTTCCTTGCAGATCAATTAAGAAAACTTCACCAAGACTACAAGAAGCTGTTGGGGGAGGAAAACGACGCCGCTCTTGCGGATATTGAGGAGAAATTAAAAAATGCCGATTCAAGCCAAAATCGCAGGGCTTGTTAGTAAGTCACACATCTTGAACCAGCTAGCTGCACGACTGGATAATATTTACGACGGTATCCAGACAACAACAGAAGGGTTTGACATGCTGTTGACTGAGTAAGTATTTTCTCTCCACATAATGATTTTTACAAAGAGCAACATGGAAATTAAGATTAATTTTTGCAGATGAGAGGCCTTTGTATCCGCCAACTCAAACAGTTTGATAAAAAATATTCAAGAGCAAATTTGTTTTTTATTTCTTCATTGAAGGAAAAGCCAAGCATATAAGGTACATCGAAATAGTTTATCTAGAGTAAAGCCTCAATTATGGATACTATGGAATTTTGGGAACAAGGCAACGAATTTCTCCCAAATGCCATAATCAAGTTAAATGCCAATGCGTTTTACTTTTCTGAATGTGTTACTTTATGATAATTTTCACTGTATCTTTTAGTTTCCAAAAAGAATTTTTTTCTGATTTCCAGCTTAGCCACGCGATTGCAATCATAAGATTGTCACCTTTAAAGCAAAGTTCATCCTGATGAGAGAATACACAGTTATGACGAAGCTGAAGAAACGAAGGAATGTAAAAATACATATTTCAAATGCACCGGTCTACGACGATCACTGCATGTAGCCTTGACCATGATGAACATGTAACTCAGTCTCAGTTGATTATTTAAATGCTATATTTCCATTTTAGTTTGCCGGAGGCCCAAGATGAAATGGTCAGTGAATCGAAATTGATCCGCAGAATCATATCTCTCAAGCACGTATATCTTGAGATAATTATTTTCTTATTCGATAGGGTCTTTCCACTCAGTCTAACTGAGCAAAAATATCATAACATGGGTCTGCATAAGTCCATCTATTGTCGTTTGGCAATCGGAACAATGTTTCAGCATGCAAAGGTTCCACATAGTTATCTCAGAAGAAGGCATACTCGAGGGTACTCGAGGCCATAAATAAGGCTTGACGCAATTATTGTTGTATTGAATTGAAAAAGATATTATATTAAAACTTTTTTTTTTCTCTGTTTTTACAATACAATACACTCCGAACAATCCGGCTCCAATGGATAATTATTATTTAGCAGATACTTATAGTTTTTAACGATTTAACATACGGAGTCGTTCAGTGCTACTCCGTATCGGCATGTAATATCTTTTTTCTATAACATCTCAGTGTTCCTGTGCCTACCTCTTATGTGCGTAGGGATGCCATTCTTTGGTAAATAGTTGAGTGATCATGATATGCTGATCACGATTGAAAAATAAAGAAGAAAAATGATTGTCAACGAACTCCATTTCAAGTTACTGGCCCAAAACTTCAATGTAAGGGTGTTTCTAGGAGAATATAGTGTTGCTGTGATAAGCTTGCAAACAAAATTCAGAACTTGTTAGAAAAGACTTGCCCACATTTTTTGCATTGCATCCAAGGAAACGAACAGAAAAAAGTGGTAACATTCATCCATCAAACATTTGTTGTTAAAAAATGACGAAAACATTCTGAGTCACATTAAAAGGTTTCTGTCAAATTATATTTTTATGAAAAATATAGGAACTGTAAGGACTTGAGGTATTAATCTTTCGCTAAAAACGTTTAAATAAACGAATGGCTTTCTTAAAACTGTAAATACATTAAGCCAAAGCCTCAAGTTAGTAAAATCGACTAGCAGACTGAAAGAAATTGCAGCTTATTTAACCATAGAACTGTTCTGCACTTCAACCGTTGGCTGGTAAATTCCTGACTTTTAATTTAATTTAGCTTTGTTAAGAAATCATAAAGTACGCAGTTCTTAACATTTGTCTGTGTTGGAATTGTAGGTGAGTCATGTTTAAATGAGATCTTTTAGTTTTCTTATGGTATATAGATTATCTCCTTAACCTTACACTTATTTACCAAATATACATATCATTTACCAAAGGTTTTAAGGAAATTAATTCGTCAAGTTTGAATTTTTTTTTGTACAAAGAAAGAAACAGGAACTACGCATTTCATTTCAGAACAGTTGAATAGTTTCGATAACATTTTCCTAGGTGGGATTCTTTACCGTTTTAGGGTGGGAAGATTAAGTGCTCTTTGTGATCGCTAGACAGACTAAATTTTATACTGAAAAAGTATACAGATTTTATCTGTATATAAATGCAGTGGATTGTACCCCATTCACACCGACAAAACAGGTTTCGTCAAACCGGGTTTGACTGAGTCAAAAAACAGAAACGAAGAACTAAAAAACTGAATTCTCTATATGGTCCAAGTAGTTGCTAAATTTTGTATTCAATGTACTTAATTTGAAGTCGGCAAGCATC